CCCCAAAACCCCAAAACCCCAAAACCCCAAAACCCCAAAACCCCGGAATCTTTCGAAGTAATTGTAAAATATGAATCCTAATATGGAGAACCAAGATGGGATTAGCAGTGATGCAATTGACCAAATGAGTCTTGAAGAGTTTGAGAAAGAGATTGTTAATTCCTTGGTAGGAATGTACTCGGCACAGACAGCAGAAGAAAGAAATCAACTCTATAGGAATATTTGAATGCTATCGGAAAACAAAGCCAAATTTATACAGGGTGTTGTGCAGGCCTTGTATGGGGACTATGAGCTAACTCAGAAGCTAAGCGTTGTGCTCTACTTCAAGTCCTATTTGAACAACATGATCATTAAGAAAATTCTCTCAGCAGATGAAAGGAAAGAGGTGTTCAACGAGTTCCTAAAAGTTATATTTGAAGCAGACCTTCCTGTTGAAATTAGAAACAACCTGACTCCATGCTTAGAATCTTTGTTGTTCGCAGATGAAAACGACAGAGAAAACTCCCAACACCTTCTGGAACACCTATTTGAGACAATGGATAGATATATTGGTACTGATCCAAGTTCTCAAGAATCAAAAATTTTAAGGGTGTTTTTCTCCCTGTTCAGAGCTTCTATCAATATTATCCAAGACAGTACATTGATATCAGAAAGGCTTAGAGGAAGCATTAAGTTCCTCTGATCTTCAGCAAGCAAAATTATTGAAGAATTAAAGGATGCTTTCACCAATGGAAATCAGCTTGAAGCTAAGCAGAATTCAGCAGCATTGCAAGAGTGGGTGATGATATTTAAGGAAAGTTTGAACAAGACTCAGAAAGCCATAAACTATCCTACTCTTCCTGAAGCAGAAAGAAAGTCAGCAGGACTTTCTTATATAGACTTTTTGACTAGAGAAGATTTTATGAAGGTTTCCTACGAAATAATATTCCTTGCAACACCAGAAGATAGGTTGTTTTTCACTACAGGAGATGAAAAGATAGACAATTTGTTGTTTAACGCGAAAGAGAATATCATCAAGATTATAGGAAATCTTATTTCATACATCAAACCTCATTTGCACATGAAAGCTCTAGAGAACACAGATTTCTTGAAGTTACTTCAAGTAATTACTCCTCTGTTCCTCGAGTCACTTATCGAGCTTGGGTCAGAGGAAGAGAATGCAAAGTTCCTTTCCAGTGCTCATAGATGTCAATTAATTAGCTCTGTGTTAAGCTGTTCATCTCAGCTTGTGTACATTAAAGAGTTCCACCCAATATTTGAAAAGTATTCCTTAAGGATATTCACTGACATTGGATTCCCCTTCTTAAGAACACTCGAGGAAGAGAAAAATGAAGCTATAGATAATCCATCAGAATTCGTCAAGCTTGGTCTTGATACCTGAGATAGACAGAGACTTGCTCATATGAAATCTCAAGCTGCTAGATTTATTGAAACCATGGGCGATAAGCTCAGAGGATACTTCCCACAACTTTGAAACTTATGATGAGATATGCTAGATTACTCTGTATTAAAGGAACAAGGCTTGGACGGTAACTCAAATGCTGATGAATTAGCTCAAAATTATCCAACTCTTAAAGATAATTTCGAAGAGTCTAGATTCTTTAAATATTGCTCAAATGAAGATATGATGGATGTCTCAATAATGGTGCTTACGATGATAAGTTATGCTCTCCCAAAGAATGAGGCCTTGAAGAAGAGATTCACTGAAGTGTTAGAGAAAACTACCAAGCCAATTATGGATAAGAAGGACTTAATCCTAAACTGTAGACTAACTTGTCTTCTTGGATACTACATTGATATTCTCTATAAGGATCAGCCTGATGTATTTAACTCGGTGATCAAGATGTTCATCACCTCTTTAAACCAGCAGGAAGAAACTTTAGCGTTGACTTACCAGAGTAGTGATACTCTAAACACGATCATTAATGATAATGATATTGTTCCAAGGATGAGACCTATCATCAACGATGTGCTTACCTATATTTACGATGCAGTTCTTGTAGTTAAAATCCCAGAGTTTTTCGACTTTTTAGAAGAGATTTTCAAGTTTTACAAATCCGAGTTGAACACTGAAAGTGTTGTCAAGTGCGTTGAATGCTTGGTTGCAAGGATTGAGAATGATCTAATCAACAACAGAGGAGAATGTGGCGATGTAAATCCGTTCAAACAATTCGCACCAGGCCGTTCGAATGTAGATAACAATGAAAAACATGAGAATACCATTGCCATCCAAAAATCCTGGGTGGTAATCATGAGAGTACTTGAGACCGAAGAATATATTAACCAAGCTGGAGATCAACTTTTAGAAAAATTGAAGTTCATGTTTGGTAATTTGGCAGAGCCAAAAAGAATTGATTTTGATGATGATATTGTTAAATCCATGAAAATCTTAATCAACAGTTCCAAAGCAGTTGCCGAAGAAATGAAGGTCTTGTTCCCATATCTAGAGAATACATTTAAGAAAAATGGGTATGTCTATGGTGAACTTTTTGATCTGATTAAGGCCTATATCAAGAATGATAAAGCTTTCATTTTATCGAATGAGCAATGCCTCCAGACATTGTTTGGATTTGGAATCACCACGCTATATCATGAGCAACATGTAATCAATGGAGTGATCTACCTTATGCAGTTGATCTTACTTCTGAAGGATGACCAGAATCATGCAACTGACGCTTTGATCCCAGATACTTTGAAAGAGATATTTAAGAGGATGCAACAACAGCCAATGAATTCTGTCATGAAGAGAGTGATGTTCCTACCAATTCTTGCATGAATGGTAGGGAACTTCAGTGCGACTTTCACATATTTTGAGCAGAATGATATGACCGAGCAGGTGGTAAATCAGATCCTAAAGAATTCCTCGAAGACGTTTGAATGTCCACTTGAGCGTAAGCTGTACGCAATGACGATGACGAGCTTGCTTACCCAGCAAGAGCTTCCTGGATGAGTTAGGGAAAAGTCTCCTCAGATTATCACAAAGATTGCTCATTGTTTAATCAAGACAACTGTAGAGGAGGTCAAAGAAGCTAAATCAAAAGAGAAGAAGAAACTTGACTATTTATCAGACTCTGATTATTCAGATTCTGAATATGAATCCTCTGAAAGTGACCTCTCTGAAAATGAAGAAGAGAGTAAAAGAAGACAAGATAGCATTTTAGCTCTGATCGATGAGAATGATGATAATGAAGGCGGCGATAAAGATGATAGCACCGACAACGATGAGAATAATGGGGATGTGATAGAGACAACAATTGATGTCCAGAGTAACTTTGCAGTAATGAAAACCGGATTTAACTCCTTTGATGAGTTCAATTATTTTAAATTCGTTTGGAAGCAGCTATCTCAGAACCATCCACAGGAAATGCAAGCTCTTGCTAGCCGTTTGAGCGAGAAGACACAGAAGGCTATTAGGAACCTCTGTCAGGTTCAGCATTTTGAGACTAACGGGCGTGTTGTTCACAGAAGAATTATCAAGGGAAAGAGGAAGCAATAACGTAATTATTCAATAAAATATTTGATACAATTTGTTTTTGGTAATATGGGGTTTTGGGGTTTTGGGGTTTTGGGGTTTTGGGGTTTTGGGG